TGAGACAGATATGAGGCAGAGACAGATCATAGCATAGAGTAGATTTTCAGTAAGTACTTGTTATTAGTTTATGGATTGTACCACATGAAATTGCTAAATTAGATCAGTTGAAAATTGTCTGCAATAAGTAAAGTTGACATAAAGCATGACTCAAGTTGTCCCACTTAGAATTATGAGAACATTATACTCTTGATCTTTCTTGCATTGTTACTGTTTTCCACAGCAATAACTAATACAGTGTCCTAAGAAGAATGATGAACGTTTTCATTGTATGATTCATAACTGGGGTGTACTGCAGGTGAGCGGAGTCGTAGAGGGCTCTGCTAGCAAAAGAGCTGCTCAGTGGTAGTGTGACAAATCTCGGTGTGAGGACATGAATTTCTAAAGTGAACTTCAGAGAAGTTAATAGCCACAGTGAAAGCTCACTTTCAGGACCTTGTTGCGGGCTTCAGGATTTCTCCTGTTGCTGGTGAGTGTTTGAAAAGGGACCAGAGAGTGCAGGCTCAGAGAGCACAGACAAGTGTGCTCACCAAGAGTCAGAACAGCAGAAGCTCATTCCTAGAGCAGATCACAACCTGCAGCCAGATAAGCGCGGGGGAAGTCCAGCGTGACCGTTGACAGCGGGCCAGCACCTGGAGGTCACGCAGCGCTCTGGTGGTGACCACTGCAGTCACTCGCACCACGATTTCTGAAGTGCTCTGCTGATCTACGAAGGAGATAATTACTAAGTGCAAACCTGGGGATGCAGTGACAGCACAGCACCAGCATGTTGTTAAGAAATTTAAGTTGCAAATGTACATTTTCATTTGCGAACATCCTTTGGTTAGCAAATGTGAACTGTATTTTAACAGGAGAGGACTTGACCTCTTGTCGCAAGCCACTCAAGCAAAGCCTGACCTGTGAAATTCTGTCACATCCATCATAGCCACTGGACCTTTAGCTAAAGGACTATTGTCTTTTTTATCCTTGGAGCTTTTGTAAAACACAACATAGTCAGATATGATGGTCCACATCTGTAATCCCAACACTTGGGAAGTCAAGGCCAGCTGCTTGAAATACATAGTCAGGTCCAGTCTCAAGTCAAAAAAGGAACAACACACTCCCAACTGAGAAGCAGTAAGTGGAAGATTTGAACAATGTATACAGTTTTAACAAAATAATTTTATGAAAATTAATATCTTAGAAAATGTTGATGAATATTTTGATTGAATAAAACTTATTTTTTTAAACTTATTTTTAAAATAGTTTTAATTTTTACTTACAAAACAGCAATTTCATATGGTACAAGGTTTTCTCCATTTATACTTGACTAGTTAGAGTACAAATGTATTTTCAGTAGTTGTGGAATGTACTGTTTATCATTTTAGGAAATGAAATTATACAAACTGTATTAGTTGTTCCTTTGTGTGAAGCAGATTATGATGTAGTGTTTTCGACTGACTCTTGTATTGACCATCTTCAGAACATACTTGAAGATCCTATTGTGATTGCGTGGTAGTTTTTGCTAGAGATAAATCATTTTTTTAAATTTTGTTTATTTTTTTCTGTATTTTAAGGAAGGAAAGATAAATAATTTTATAAAAGTAAGGACTAGGCTGGTGATATAGCTCAGCAACACAGCACCTGCCTGGCATGTGCAAGGTCCTGAGTTCAATTTGCAGTACAAAAACAATTAAATAAATAAAAGTAGGGACATAACTAGTTTTTGGTTTTTCTTGAAATTCCATTGAGTACTGATGTTTAAGAACTAATGCACTGCATGTTCTAAGCCTACTCCTAGTGTCAGATCATAGCTTTTTAAAGACTGCTTAGTGCTCTGTGTGGTACAGGGCTGGAGCCCATATCAACCACGAGCCCCGGCCCCAGCCACAGACCCAGGGCCTTGGGCAGGGCTTCTGATGCTCCCAGGGGTCCACACTTCTGTGGTAGCCCTGAGCTGTGCTCATCGTTAGAACTGAGTTTAGGCAGTTTTTAAGCCTTTTACTGCTTACAGTTTCATAGTTGTTTTATAAAAAAATGAAATGTTCTCTCTCAAGAGTCTGAAGATAATTCATTTATAAAGTGATTCTTTAATTTTCCATTCTCAAGCAATTCTCTTTTTAGAACACACACACACCAGTGCCTGTTCAAGTGTTTAGGCTTTCAGATCCCCTCACATGAGTAAGAAGCTGTAAATATTCTAAAGAAAAAACATGGCTGTTTCCCACATGCGTCACAGCCAAACTGCAGCCATGCCTAATGCATGGCTTCACATGTGTGATGAACCTTCTTACTGCTTCCACACTCATCCAAAGTCACAGAGACGCTTCTGGATGGGAGAAGTGGTGAACCATGAGAATGTCCAGAAGAATGGGTCCTGCTTCACCCAAAGGCTTATGCACACTGGGGGGCATTCTTAGGAAAAGCAGGGAGCAGCCTCAGCTGCAGCCTAGCACAGTGGTGAAAGGAAAAGCGTGCAGCAGGGTCATGCCTCAGGGCTGTGGTCCTCTTCCCTCACTCAGGGCCACGACTCCCGGTGAGTAGGACCTCCGAGTTTTGTTCAAGGGCAGCCTGTTGGCATTGAGGCTCACTGGCTGAGGCCAGGTGACATGATTTGCCCACTCACTAAAGGATCCCTGACCCACGTGCTCGTCCTGCCCACGGGCAGTCACGAGCACAGCTGACCTCTTACAAAGGAAGTTGTTCTTTGACAGCGCACTTAGATTCGTAGTCCATGTTTTCCTTTTGAATAAATTACTTTATAGTGCTGCTTCCATGATGCTTGTTATCCACATGAAACTAAGACTTTTTGTACTAGTGCTTATGCTTTATAAATAAGCACAAAAGTAACCCATGTTGAGCTTTTTTTTCTTTGCGGTACTGGGGATTAAACTCAGGACCTCGTGCTTGCCAGGCAAGTGCTTATTCTACTGAGCTATCTCCCCAGCCCCCCTCTCTTTTTCTTTTATAATTTTTTAAAGACTTCCAACTGAGCCTAGTGGTAGAAAATAAAATACAGTGTGTAAGCCGGGTGTGGTGGCACACACCTGAAACCCTAGCACTGGGGAGGCTGAGGCAAGAGGGTCCTTGTGAGGTCAGCACCAGCCTGGGCTACAGAGTGAGCTCAAGGCCAGCTAGAACTGCATAGGGAGACGCTGTCTCAAAAAGACAATTGATTAATTAATTAATTAAAATAAAATAGAATGTGTCACCATGAAATCTACTGACCTTAATCATTCCCATAAAAGAAGTATCAAGAGTCTTCATTTAACTTGTGTCTTTCAAGTTTGTGTCTTGAACAAATTACAATGCTAGTACTTACTATTCAGCATACCAATTGTATTTAATAGTAAATATAAGCAATGAATTTTTAATGATTTTTCAAAAGGAATTTCTAACGTGTTTTGAATTTGTTTTTTTTCTAGTGTACAGAGATTTCATATGCATGAACATTTGTGCTGTCTTAGGTGTTTTAATTTAGAAAGTTGAAAAGCATACAGGCTGCCAAAGTTCATTTGTAAATAGTGGCTTGGAACTTGATATGAATTAGATTCTTAAGGGAATCTCATAAAGTCTTGTTTAAACCATAGTATAGCTGTTATACTAAATTCTTCGTTTTCAAGAAAGAAGCAGAAATTTTTCCTGATGTGATTAAAAAACTAAGTTCTTAACGTGGTTTATTTCCCACTTGCCCTATTACAATCTAAACTTTCTGGTGAAATGCGGTATAAACAGGCTTGGCTTTTCCCCTCCTAGAACCTCTGTGCTTCAAAATTTCCCCTTGTTCCTTTGAGCAGAAATTCTGAGCCAGGAGTGGTGCAACGTGCAAGCCAGTAATCCCAGCCCGTGGGAGGCTGAGGCACAAGGATCTCCATGAGTTTGAGGCCAGCCTGGGCTACATAGTGAGACCCTGTCTTAAAAACAAAAAAATATTTTAAGATTTTTTAAATTCTTAGATTTTTAAGAGAAAAAAAATTTTTCTGCTAAAATAAAAATGAAGGTAGCAGAGAAAATGACAGTTTTAGGGCTGGCCAGAGAGCTCAGTGGATTAAAGCGCCTGCTTAGGCAGACCCGGGCGGGCACGGGGGCAGGGGTCCTTTTGATCCCAGCCTGCTGTGCTGTCCCAGCCCCTGGGACAGCGAGTGAGGCTGGAAGTGGCATGTACCTGTAACCCCAGCATTTCGGAGGCTGAACTGTGTAGTGAGACCCTGCACTAAATATATAAAAAAGAGACAATTTTTTGTTGTAAAAAAGATCTTCAGAATGGATTTTTAACATACAACACTTTAGACAGTGTGACCACAATTCATGCACCATGTGAGGTGATATTTTTCAGCAAATTAGCTGGTACTGTGCTGTCCTTCAATTCCTTTAGATTGTTTTGACTTTTTTAACAGCCTGCTGTCTTCTAAGCCTGTACTCAGAGATTTCATACTTACTTCCAAATTGTAGTGACGTTCCCTTTCTCTCCCACTTACCCTGTAGATCGCTGTAAAAGTCACCTCTGCATTCTCCAGCGTCTAGCGGTGCAGAGATGGGGGTTGGCGCACCCTGGAGTGAGGAGGGGAGGGTGGCGCAAACGCCTCTTTGAGAGACAGGTATGGGATGAAGGGAGGCCGCGAACGCGGAGGCCCCCTGCGCTCAAGTGAAAACCTGATGAGACCCAGTGGGGGACCTTCGTCAGTCGTATTTTATCAGTATTATTTGGAACTACATTAAACTCACTCGCAGCACCTGTACTCTTCTTGTTCTGCAGATGCGATGATGTTGCTTGTTAAAATGTTATCTTTTATAAAAGAAAGTCCTGCTTCTGATCACAATGTGTGTGACTTAACCGATTGTTTCATATTAAAACTATTTCTTCCTTATGTACTGTTTACATATACCTCTTGTTGGGATATTAGTTCAGTACTTTGTATAATCTGAGTGTGTTCCACATTGGTGACATGTATTTTTGCAGTAATTTTTTGTTTTGTTCTTAGAGCATGTCTAAAGTAATACATGCACTAGTGCTGTGGTCTGTGGCAAAATTACTGTAATTCAAATTGGAAAATAAAATGTTTCCAGACTTTGTCCAACCCTTTCCTATGACAAAGGAAATTACTATGTAATGCTAATTATTTCTTATGCTGATAACGTTTTAAGCTACTCCATGAAGTATGTGAAACATGAGTATTTATGGATTAGTAGATGGTCTGATGTCTGAAATGTGAGAAAGGAGTAAAATTTGGTGTTAGCAATTCATGACACATAGAAAATACTTATTTAAAATTTGATCTACTTTTAAAAAATCTGATCTGTTTACAGGTATACTTTAGGAAGGAGTTAACTGACAGTGTGTATTAGAATTTTGGAAAACCCATACTACTAATACTACACAGCAGACTTTGATTTAGAGATCTGTTAATCAAACAATATCAGTCACTGTCATAAGCAAAGAATAATACTAATCTTCATTTATTAAGAAATGACTAAGATATCATAATGCTGACTTAGAATTTGTAATCATGATAGGACTTGAATACTGTTTACTTTGTACCATCTGATAAAAGGACTTAATAAAAATAATGATGCCGTGCCAGCCCCGCCCCTGGGGCCCACTGAGATGGCAACTGAGACTGGGCATGGTGGCGTGCACCTGTAATCCCAGCGCTTGGGAAGCTGAGGCTGAAAACAAGAGGATCACTATGAGTCCGATCTGTGTAGTGAGACCCTGTAGACCCTGTACTAAATACATAACAAAAAAGTAATAGCTAAAGAAAATTTTAATTTTGAAAAGTTTTTAAGTTTTAGATTTCAGAGTCATTTATTTAAGAACACTAGTTTAAAAACAATCTTGTTTTGTCATTAAAACAAGTACCCAAAATTATTATATTAGGTGATACTGGACCAGTGCAAATTTGCATATTTGAAATTATGTGCTTGGAAGGAAAAAAAAGCTTGTGAGTGCTTAAACTGCATATCTTAAAAATATTCACATTTTTAGACTTTTATCAATTCAAATTATTCTGAATAAAGTTTTACTATATCAGTGGATATATTATAAATGTGTATCTGTGTTATATTAATATTCTTATACTGCGACATATTTGGCATGATGGTTGTGATATACTTTATATTTTTGATTGTTAATAAGATATAGCAATAAATCTGACTTAGTCTTAATATTTTTTAAAATGCCAGATACTGTGCCATGTTATAATCCCATTATATTTGACTTGAATACTCATATTTTCATAGTTTTATTTTTTGTGTTAAAAATTTAGTACTGTATGTTGGTTTGTTTTTGTCTGATATTTTCACATATAGTCTTTTAAAATTGGGTATAAACAAGTATTAATGTGAAATGATTCATGAACTACTTTGTAGTAAAGCTTAGATAAATGTGAGAAATTGGATCACCCTAAATTGTTTATTTTTATAGTTTAAATGCAGTTACAGTTTTCAAAGACAAAAAATTGGCTTTGTAATTGATAGAAATTGGATCATTTGTTTAAAAGTTTCAATGTTAAGTCAGTTATGTTTCTGGCTCTGAAATGCATTAGAGTAACTCCTCTGAGCAGTCGAGGGAGGTCAGGTCCCCTTTTTTATGCGAAATGTTTAACTCCGACTGCTTCTCCCTCCTCCCTTTTCCCTACACCCCATGCTAGAATTGAAAACTAGTGTTTAATTTGCCTCCCATGTTTTAGTTTCCTATTCTAAGGTGGTAGGGCAAGTGGAGGCTTTGCTGTTGAGGCAGCCCACGCCATTGTTAGCCGTTCTTTTCAGGGAGGATGCTGATGTCATTTGTGCACTGTATGAAGAATGTCAGTATCGAGACCGACTACCGTAGGCATCATGTACGACAGGCTTTCTTGAATATGTGTCGCAAGTTCCTTCCTACAGTGTTAACTATGCTTCAGAGTCTTAAATAAAGCTAGTTTGTAAAGATAAAAAGACCTGCTCTTTAAGTGCTCGACCGTCATCTCTCATTAGGACACTCAGCAGGTATACTCCTTGAGCACCTTGGCTTTTAGTGGGGTTGCTTGCCAAGAATTTAACCGTAGCCTGGGCAAGCCAACAGACCAGGCCTTGCTACACATGTGTTATCTTGCTTGCAAAATGTATACATAATAATTGATTCTTGTGTTTCTTTACAGAATTGTGAACATGACTATTTTGACTTTTACAAATTAGAACTTCAGTTCTGTTAACAGAAAATTAATAGAAGAGTCTACAACCTGAACACTGCACTGTCCCCGAAGCAGAGATGCCATTATAGCAACCATAAACTTGCTAAATAGTAGCATTTACAAAAGATCGCTCCTTATGGGAAGGAGCCGCCAGATACCCTGAGTCTGTTTCATGAGAACAGGCTGTATAAAATGTGAAGAAGTCAGTTGGCGCAAACTTGGCATCGTGGGTGAGTGACACAGGCAGTATTAAGATAGCAAGATGAACTAGGATTCTCTGGAGCAAGGTTGCTACTGTTGCATCCTGAAGCCTGCAATGAGTGGGGTGGGGTTCTGATGATCCCTGGATACTTTCAAGCATCTTTTTTTTGTCTCTGTGCAAAGTACTCTTTCTAATGGTGCTAATCTCTTTAGCCACTGTACCTCCTTTGGCCTTATTAGGTTAATATTACCCTTCATCATTGCAGATTGATCAGGTCCACAAGCTCCAAAATGAGTGGGTGGCAAAAAATAAAAGAGACAAAAGAATGAAATCAGGACTCCAGGAGGATCAAAAACCCTCTGACAGAATTCCAGAATCTACTGGGATTAAGATAAAGCTCTTCAGGCCAGGGATATATATGCATAGTGGCACAGTGCCTCTTTGGTCAATGCAATGTCCTGAGTTCGATTCCCAGTGTTGTAGGCAGCCAGTTAGATAGAGAAATTATAGGCAGACAGGGCAAGACCCTCAAGGAGACAATATAGAAGACAAGATGACTTGGCAACTTGGAAGAAGCACTCCTGTATGAGCCAGACCTCAAGACAAAAGAGGAAACAAACACAGCTACATACTTCTCTAGGGATGGGCATCAGAGAGTGATATTCTAAATAGGTATCAATCATCTTGTAAGAGGGGCTGGGGGGATGGTTCAACAGAATAAGTGCTTGCCTGGCAAGCGCAAGGGCCTGAGTTCAATCCCTGGTTCCACCAGGAAAAAAAAAAAAAATCACCTTGCAAGAGCCCAAATGAGGGGGGCCGGGAGATGGCTCAGTAGGATAAGCGCTTGACTGGCAAATGTCAAGGATCTGAGTTCAATCCCCGGTTCCGCAAAAAAAAGACCAAATGAGTCACTGGCCCAACCCTCAACAGGAAGAGACCCTGTCCCATATTCATGCCTGCTTGCTGTGTGACTCGCTTCCCCATTTGGTACTGGATTTAATCTATTTTACCTGAGCAATGATGCTTGTAATCTTTTTTTTTTTTTTTTTTTTTGGCATTTTAGGGAAGGGTCTACAGGGTGTTCAGGGTCTCACTACTAGATTGGACTTGTAGTGATCCACCTGTTTACAGCCTCCCAAGAGCAGGGATTACAGGCCCACGCAACCACGCCCAGTCTCAATTGCCATCTGTGTGCCCTGGTGGCGGGGCTGGCAGGCAGGCCCAAGGATTGAACCCCCAGCCCCAGCGCCTGCTTGCAGGCACTTTAATCCACTGAGCTATTTGGCCAGCTGGTGCTTGTAATCTTATTGGTTGGCCATAGCTTTGTCCTACCTCATGCCCACCTAAGAGAGTTCCCATGTCTTCTCCACCACCTTAGACCTGCCTCACCATGTGGTTTTACTCTATAAAAAAGTACCTGAAAGAGACAGCTTACCAGGAACAACCCGCTTGGGCTCCCCTCCTGTCCCTCTCTTGGACAGGAGCTTTCTCTCCCCTCAATCAAACATATTCTGCTCATAACCTCCGTTTGTTCCTAAAATTCATTCTTTGGTTTTAGAGAACATGAACTCATCCTAGGTACCTTTTAGGTTGCAAGATCATTTCTCCCTATGTCATTTGGAGGTCCCCTGTATCATTTACTTATAGGTCAAAATTTAAGTTTTTCAGGCTGGCCAAATAGCTCAGTGGATTAAAGCACCTGCAAGTAGGCACAGGGGCCGGGTTTGATCCCTGGGCCTGCAGTGCTGGCCCCCCACCCCTACCCCCAAGCGCACTGAGACAGCAACTGGGACTGGGCGTGGTGGCGCGCGCCTGTAATCCCAGCACTTGGGAGGCTGCAAACAGGAGGATCACTACCAGTCTGATATATGCAGTGAGACCCTGTAGACCCTACCCTGAAATAAAAAAATAAATTAAGTTTTTTCAAGTTTTTCTGCTCTGCCTTTAGCCCCTGAGTCTCACTGTAATTGTGCTGAAAATGGCAGGCAACACCCAGGCTGAAGCCTAAATGTTAGGCTGTCTAGAAATTCCCTCAGCTGTCCAGCTCACTTATTCAGTCGTGAGACATGCGAAAATTATAGGCAAATTTCTGCCAGAGGATAACACATGTGGCTCTAGTCCAACTTGTACTTTAGTCCTGCTGCCAACTA